TTAGTCTGGCCAAATCCAGAAGACATTCCTGAGACATTGTAGACCTTAAAAAAAAAATCTTATTTAGCTTAAGTTTGCTAAAGGACCTGTCTGCAGAAGCTACTGTAGCTGAAATTGTTAACAGCATTCTTAAGCTAACACAAACATTTGGAAACAGGCAACCAAGTCTGTACTCTGTTAACAAGTTCAACAAATCTAATGGCTTTAACTGTGCATTTACAAAATTTGCTTTTTCTTTTCTAGAAATCATCACCATTAAGGTCAGCAGGATATTGCTCTGATAGACAAAGCTTTTCTATTTGCTCCACATGGTGAGATATTTCCACAGGAAATCTCCCCCCCCCAGCTGCTAACAGCATTGAAGCAGACAGTTAATCCTGCTATAACATTGTCTACAAAACATAAAACACACTTTCTGAAGTAGGCTTCTTTTGGAGTATCATTTCTGCCATTCATTTCTTCCAAGTTGCAACCAGGTATGCTGTTTTCATGATGCCTTGCCCTCTTGAGCCTAGTGCCATCACACAACCTAACCATCTTGTTTCAGAAATACCATGAAGAGAACAACCAATACGGGGTTTTTTTGTAGTAATTCCCATTGTTTAGGACTGGAAATGAACAGGTAGTATGCACCTTGAATTGTTCCAAAAATAGGTTATTGCTTCAGATATGCATTTAGCAACATCACTTCCACGTAAGTTGAGTGTTTGACAGCCGCAAGATGAAACAATTACTGTTGAACATTGCTTTTGTATTTTTGCTTGTGTGCTGTTGTATTTTCAGGTTATATTTGCCCCATTATGTAGGCTTGAGCGCTACAATCGCTGAGAGGAAGTACGTTCTTTTCAACGTTTGAGTTATCTACGGAGCAATTTCTTTGCCTCTTTTGTTGCTACGATCGGCAAACCGGAGGAATCTTTCTTGAAATCTCATACTGCGTATCTTTCAAAAGTACATATCTCCAAAGAAATGTTGTTTGTTCAGTATGGGAAGGAATCTGGTGTGGAATCTATATCGCTGCAAAGTAGTTTGCAGGTTGCCTCTCAAGCAAAATCTGTTGTTTCCCGGCTTCCAACACATATAAAAACATAACAAAACAACAAACATTAAAAAGTTCCATATATAGGGCTGCCTGTAAAAGCCATTGATGGATTGCTCCAGGGCCAGGAGTGAAGCGCTAAAGGCCACTGTGGGGCATCCGCATTCTATTAAAGAGCTCTCTTGGAGCTATTCTTATAGATCCCCTAGTAGACTTTTCCCATTGATTAAGCATTTAAAGTTAATCAACTAAAAGAAGCTCTAATCAGCTGGAGTCCCTGCAGTCTATCTTCCTAGGCTTCTGGTTTGCTTCCTCACAGGCAGATTCCCTGTTTCTCAGTGCGAACACACACCTCTCAATAAAGAAAGAAAGAACCCAGGAAGAGATTAACAGAGTGATGTCTTCAGTGTATTACAACCGACTCAGGCAACAGGTCCGAGCAATTAAAAGCAATGGCCATATATTCCAAAAGTAATTACTGGAGCGTCAGTGCAGTCCCCAAGGTGAGGAGATTAAAAATATCTTTTTTTATATATAGTGGCTGGCTTTCAAATGAAAGCCTGCTTTAATATAAGGACAAGGCTGTGCAAATCACCTGCTATAGAGGAGCAAGCAAGGCACCGAGACCATCGCTACGGGATGCCAGCGTTCCCAAAGAGCACCCAGATCCCATCTAAAGGCAGATCCCAGAAATTTCAGTGGCTTCATATGATGAGACCCACCATGGTAGATGCTCAGAGATCAGTGGGGTGAATCATCTTCCTTCAGTCAGTTTGGGTAAACAGCTCCAGAAGCTGGAATGGAATAGCAAATATATGCCATCCACATAAAAGTGATTTTCTTGGGGGGAATTCTTCCATGCAGTAATACATATTGGAACTTGGTAGGGGGGAGGAAAGGAAGTCATTGAGCTGGTTCCAGATGCGGAACGTAAAGGGAACATAAAGAAGGTTAGATATCAGTGGCCACCTTCTGATAGCAAATGACTCAGGGGCTTTTGTTCATGGCAAAAAGTTCAGGGGCGCAACTTCTCCTATGACAAATAGTGCCGTGAAAGAGAAATGACTCCCGTGGCTTCACACTGCTATTAAAAGTGAAGGAGCATCCTTTAATTAAGCCCAGATGTTGGCAGCCTTAATACCAAGCTATTAGCTGGGGCAGGACATGAAGCATTCTTTGAACGGAGCCAGCTAATTAAAACCCTATCAAGTTGTTTTTGGTTTTTTTAGTGGTGGCCAGTAAAATTGCCATTCCCACCCGTCCTAGACTTTGTTCGCCTATCCAAAAATGGGATATCTTACACTGAAGACATCCCTGACATATCCCACTCTGAATATCCAAGAAAAGAGATTCTTAAATGTTCTCCACAAGTCAGTATATCTTCTTCCTGTCAGGAGCTCACCCTCCTCTCGAGTAGGACCCTGGCAGAGAAAGATGCCCGACTGGCATGTTCCCTCCCCTCCTGGTCGATCGTTCGGGAGCTTCAAAAGCTTTCTTCTGCCTGAACATCACAGCGACCGATGCCAACCGACATCGACACACTTAGGGATCCGCAGAGTCTTCGCAGCTTGCCTAACAGACCTCAGCAAATCAGCATTTTGGCTAATCTACTTTATTTACGCATAGAAACACACACGGAACATTGCAACATGGCTCCCTCTCTCTCTCTAGCATCAGACAGCAAAGAGAAAAAGAACAAAGGACAATAGTCCTACTTCACAGAACACAGTAACACAAACATCCTGTCTCCGTCACTTCCCACTCTGTGGAGTCATAACATATACCGTCATGTGAAAGACAAAAATCCCATGACTGCAGTCATGGAGCAGGAATTCTAACACTTCCATGGGCTCCGCTCACAACTTAGAACATTTATCTGTAGTTTAAATTCATTGCTGTTGGTACTGTTCTCAGTTGACTGGGTGCACAATGGTCCTTTCTCTTCTTTTTAAAGAATTAAGATGCTTCTTCTTTTCTCTAGACCAGTGGTTTTTAACCAGTCTGCCATGGCTGGTTAACCCATCATTTGGGTTAGGGGTAGCTCAATGTTATTGGAGTTGAGTGCTGCATTGAGTCCTGATCAACCTTCCTGAGGCCACATATTAAAATGGGCACGGCCAGTGTAAATAATGGTGTGGTCGAAGTGGGCATGGTCCAAGTGGAAAAACAGCTTATCCCCCCCCCCCCCAATCTTTGTAGCTCTTCCATGAATCCTTTCCAGGATGTTAATGTCTTTAAACTGTGGAAGCCAGTTTATCTTATTACCGTATATGTGCAAGAACATAAATGCAAATTTCAAAAACCCACAAGGCAAACTTTGATTCGTTTGAAGGCCATGTCCCGCAAAAATCGGTAGGGAGAAAGATCCATTGCTGACCCATCTGATCATTTTGGTTGTCCCTGCATTTATTGATCATTGATGTCCAGCTTTTGCTTATAGGTCCCACATCAAAGAACCTATGCAATCTATTCCCCTATTTAGCTTTTGATCTCAGTTTCTCAGCTTCAGGCAAAAGAGAAAATTAAAAGCAGAGACGGAATGATTTTTCAAATGTAATCTCTGCAAAACAGAAGTATTTTGGTTTCCCTTTTTATCGATTGCTTTCCACAGAAAGCCTCCAATAGTGTAATTACAGAAGGATTTTGGATGAAATAGCAGAGAGAAAGCCTCAGTCCGTCCAAACTGCGTTGCAATAAATTGGGGGGGGGGAGGGAGATGTCAGGTGTCCTAATAAAACGAGCGATAATTTTAACTGAAATCCAATTCCAGACAAGGGGGAGGGGGTGCGGTGCATTCAGCTGATCTGTTCTTACGGAAGGCAATTGGATTTGATGTTCCCGTAGTCAAGAGCAGATATTAAAAGGGTTAGATAGAGAAAATTGGATGATTCACAAAGTTTGAAAAGATTTTTTTTTTATTGAAAAAAAAATCTCAGCAAATGGAAGAGGTAATCAGGGACAACTTATTCCATTTCTACCTCACATTTCTTACAAGGAATTGAGGGCAGTGTACGTATTGGCTTTCCCTATTCCGTCACCACTATAACCATGTAAGGAAGGTTTGGCTGAGAGATAGTGACTGGCCCAAGATTACAAAGGAAGCTCAATGGGAGAGCAGAGAGTTTTAATGAGATTGGCTCATTAAATGCTTTTCATTGTGCCACTAGGCCTGTCTGCACTCTGTTTAATGCATCACTCTGTCTCTCCATGGAGTTGCCAAGCTTTAGCAGTTGTCCTATACCAGGGGTAGGCAACCTAAGGCCTGTGGGCTGGATGCGGCCCAATCGCCTTCTCAATCTGGCCCACGGACGGTCCAGGAATCAGCGTGTTTTTACATGAGTAGAATGTGTGCTTTTATTTAAAATGCATCTCTGGGTTATTTGTGGGGCATAGGAATTCGTTCATTCTCTCCCCCCCATATAGTCCAGCCCCCCACAAGGTCTGAGAGACAGTGGACTGGCCACCTGCTGAAAAAGTTTGCTGACCCCTGTCCTGTACAGATCTTAATGACCAAGACATGGGAATCGCTCTAGAGAGGGATGAAAATTCTCATGTGCTACCAACAATTTTTAAAGAGCCAGCACGCTTGCATATTATATAAACTGCTGCACCATCAGATTTCATGGTACTCAGATTGTTGTTGTTTAGTTGTTTAGTCGTGTCCGACTCTTCGTGACCCCATGGACCAGAGCACGCCAGGCACTCCTGTCTTCCACTGCCTCCTGCAGTTTGGTCAGACTCATGTTTGTAGCTTCGAGAACACTGTCCAACCATCTCGTCCTCTGTCGTCCCTTTCTCCTTGTGCCCTCCATCTTTCCCAACATCAGGGTCTTTTCCAGGGAGTCTTCTCTTCTCATGAGGTGGCCAAAGTATTGGAGCCTCAGCTTCACGATCTGTCCTTCCAGTGAGCACTCAGGGCTGATTTCCTTCAGAATGGAGAGGTTTGATCTTCTTGCAGTCCATGGGACTCTCAAGAGTCTCCTCCAGCACCATAATTCAAAAGCATCAATTCTTCTGAATTATGGTGCTGGAGGAGACTCTTGAGAGTCCCATGGACTGCAAGAAGATCAAACCAGCCATCTGGTACTCTGGTACTCAGATTAGGCGCATGGAATTGATAGGTTCAGACACAGATCCAAATGTGACATATTGTGAAGATGCAAAACATGGTTTTCACTTTCCAAGGGAAAGAGGGTAGCACTCCCGAACTGATCTAGGTTTTATCCTGGGCTATGTTACATTTCAGAGGTAGCCAATTTGATACCTTCCAACTGTTGATGGTCAGTGGGCTCTTACCTCTCCCATCATGGCCAGGAAGTACTGTCCAACAATATCCGGAAGGCTACTCCTGCCATATCTTCTGCTTGTGATCTTAGGCCAATTGCTTAGCCTAAACTATAGTCATATCTATAGCCAGTGGATGGTGAATGTGTGTGTGTGCGCACACAATTCGAGAACTTTTTTTTCAGAGTAGGAGTGATGATGGAATGCTGGAATGCCAGGGCAATTGAGCCACACTCTGGCAAACTAATGAGGTGAGAGGGAGACTTTCAAGTCAAAGGTTAGCATAGGGAAAGGTCCTCAACCCTTTTGGGCCCATGGACACATTTGGAATTTTGCAGGAGGGTTGCGGATTCTGCTACTGCCTCGAATCCCAAGCGATTTCAAAGAAGCTCAGAAAACTCTCTGCCTGGAAGTTTATGAGTGGCTTATTGGGAAGTGGGCTGCCACAATCTTCTGCACTATTGGAACAGTTTTCTAGGGTGGCCTCAAGGTGAGTGCACCGCAATGGTCTTGTCTTGATGGGATGGTGGCATGAATGATGATTGCCAGATCCTCATCAGCTAGGGAGGGCCACAGCTAGGGTGGCTGGATGTGTCCTTGGCCACCAGCGCAACCCGACTTTCTATAGGCCCAGCTGCAGATTCCAAAGCACCCCCAGGATATAAAACCCGAATTTCTCATCACCCAGAGTAATCTGTGGAGGGGCATGCTCAGAAAGACAGATTGCTGGTGTGCAGCAGTAATTATGGCTGTGTACCTGGGGGAGACGTTTATAACTCACTAAAATCTACCTTTTGTTGTCGTTGCAAACCTATTAAACAAAGCTGTTTAACAGAGAACAAGGAATTACAGCTCCTCTGGGACCCTTCCGTTTTGCATCTCATATGGCAGGAAAGCCTTTGGATCTTGACTCCCTTGTTTCCTTTCCTGGGGGAGTGGCAAGAAATCTCTCCAGTTAGTCTATATAATTCCAGCTTTTCAGAGCCTCAGCTCACAGGTTCTTTTTAAGCACTACATGGGCATCTTCATCCTATCAATATGCATTGCTTCAGCAACCGATAGAGTGACTTGTGTTGAGGGAGCTATGAGCAGTGGCCTCTGTTTGGCAAGTGAAGTGTCTGCTCTGCCGTGCTGTTTGTCAGCTCTAAATAATAATAATAATAATAATAATAATAATAATAATAATAATAATAAATTTATTATTTGTACCCCGCCCATCTGGCTGGGTTTCCCCAGCCACTCTGGGCGGCTTCCACAGAGACCAAAAATACATTGAAATGTCATACATTAAAAAGTTCCCTGAACAGGGCTGCCTTCAGATGTCTTCTGAATGTCAGGTAGTTGTTTATGTCTTTGACATCTGAAGGGAGGGCGTTCCACAGGGCGGGCGCCACTACCGAGAAAGCCCTCTGTCTGGTTCCCTGTAACCTCACTTCTTGCAATGAGGGAACCGCTAGAAGGCCCTCGGTGCTGGATCTCAGTGTCCGGGTTGAACGATGGGGGTGGAGACGCTCCTTCAGGACTTTTAGCCCAAGATGAGTTTAGATCAGCACCTGGGTTTTAGATGCTCCCATTTGCTCTCATTGCCTCCATGGCTCCCCAACCTGCATTCCCCTTACATCCCAAATCTCCCTTGTCACCCACTTTCTTCTTCTCAGAGAACCCAGGCTCTCCTATTTTGTGGTCCAATTTGAGATTTTCCCAGTCCCTCTTCCTTCTTGACTCCAGTCCCTTGCCAGTCCAAACAGCTGTTCCTGACAGCAGCAATCTTGAGCAGTTAGAATATTTATGAACATTCCATGATATCATGGAAGCTCAGCCAATGGCTAAGACAGGTGACTTTTAAGGCTGTTATATGCTATATATATATACAGCTGGCTTTCTGTAAGCACAGATCGTTCCTGACTGCTGCTGGAGATCACTTCTCTCAATCCACGTTTTATTAAAGTGAGTGAAGGGGGTGCTCCCATACCCTCCATTACGTTACATGCACTGCTTTGGCAGGCATGTATTACGCCGTAAACATTATGAGCTGCCACTGCAATTTCCCATCCTCTAGTCTGAGGCTGGACAAAGCACATGATGTGGGAACTCTGGTTGTGTATACACATTCAGCCCATGCAAGGCTTGGTTTTGTGCTTTTTCGATGCACCCTGTACATTCCAAGTTTCAATCATTAAGACAACAAAATGTCATGTTTACTGATTTGACATGAGAACCCCCTAGTGAGTAAATAGCAGCGGTGATGTCTTGGACTAAGTGTGAATCAAACTTCAGCTTTGGGTCTCTGGAACAGTGGTGGCTGGTGTCCATTGGGACAGGTAGGGTCAGTGGTGTTGCGTGGGGTGGTTGCCCTGGGCAAAAAATTCTTAGGGGCACAAAATTTCAACACCTGGCACTGCCTCAATACAGCTACACGCTTCTGTAGCTGGGCTCTGCTGAAAACAGCTTCTCCATGAGAACTGGGAAGTGATATCTCCAGATAACGGAACTGTGCTGGTCCGGGGGGGGGGTTACCGTGAGGCGTGGTCAAAGTCCGGTCCTGGGCCGAGGGCCTGGAGACTGCCCACCAAGGGGAAAGCGGGGTCCAAAGCAAGAAGCCGGGCGTGGTCGGGAACTCCAGAGAAACAGGTCTGGGTGCTGGCAGAAACAGGTTTCCAACGTCGTTGCTCCCGCAACCTGGGACTGGGCTGACTGGCCTTTATCTCCTCTGAGGCCAGGGGCGGTCCCGCCTCTCCTGGCCAGAGGTGACCCGCCTCTCCTGGCCTTAAGGCGAGCACTCCTCCTGAGAGAACCCAGTTCCCTCCGCCTCTCTGCCCTGAGCCTCTGCAGCTCAGGAGAGGCTGGAGGGTTACTGGACCCAGGGGCAGCTTCACCTTCCCCTGACAGGGCTGGGAGAGGCGCACCTGCAGGCAATGGGTCCTCAATCACCTCCAGAGCCAGAGTGGATGCATCTGGTGTTTGCTCCTGAGGATCCAGCATAGGTGCAGGCCCTTCAGATTCAAGCCGTTGCCCCAGCTCAGCCGGCACTGGAGGCAGGGACTCCTGTGCAGGCTGGGACTCCTCAGATTCAGCTTCTGAATCAGATTCCCAGGCCATCACAGGAACAACTCTTCTTTTCATATATCTGCAGCTGCGATCTCTTGGGTGACTCAGATGTCATTATGCAGTTGAATGTGCATGCGTACTCCGTCTGTTTCCCTCCCTCCCACCCAACCTCTCTGTGTGGCCCCAGGTGCGGGCAACCCACGCTATGCCACTGGGTAGGGTGGAAGGGCAGGGAGATCCATGTGTCAGTTTGCATTTCTTAGTGCAGAAAGTATTGATCTGAGGTGTAGAGATCTTTCCTATTCTATACATTGGAATCTATGTGGAGACTGCCAACACTGGATCACGAGCATTTCGGGGTGTGTGAGACTGCAATTATTTTGCTTACTGTTATGTACTGAGTTGAATAGGATCCAAAATGCAGCAGTCTGATTGGTCCTAGAACAATAGGATCCAGAATGCAGCAGTCTGTTTGGTCCGCAGGAGCCACCCAATCCAACTCCAGGTGGAAGTGAATCTGCAACCTGATTGGCCCACAGGAGAATCCTGGAATTAGCCAATCACGTGTGGCCCATTGTGTAAATAATGTATATATAGCAGACATTTCGGGGGAAATTGCATTCCTCGCTACTATGAGCTGAGCTGAATAAAGAGCATGAAATCCACACTCGACTCCGAGTATATTTCACTTACACCCAGAGGTTTGGTCTTTTATTGGTCCATTCATAGATACCACCTTTCATAGGAGCGAACTCCTAGGCACTGAGGCCCCCCATAAAATATTTGAGGGGGCTGGGGTTAATGCCATTCAAACAGAGTGTGTGCACCACATCTTGTAATCGATTTTGCAGGGTGGGGCTTACCTGCCTCCCTCAAATATTTTATTCAAGTTGGCACCCCTGCCATCCTTTATGCATGTGTGAATGGGGTTGAATGCCTGACGTTGGCAGCTTCTTTGGATGCTCTGGGTATTATAAACCAGGAGGCTGGCAGCCCGCGTCAGTTATCTGCTGGTGATTAGCCTTTGTTTATGTTCTTTGCCTTGCTGGTGCCTCTCCTGTAGCCGTGGATCCCTGTTCTGGATATCACTCATGCTGATCATAAAAGCCACAATTGATATTTCCATTAGTTATAATTTACAGAGCGATTACCTTTAATTTATCTTTTATTGTATTTTAATGGCTCAGAATTTCTTCTTGATGAGGCTAAGTATGCTGGGGTGGGGAGGGTGGAGAATCTGGTTGTGCTGTGTGTGTGTGTGTGTACACAGATACACAGCTTGTAACCCTGTCCTTTCAGTTTAGCTAATTGCAAAAGTCCACCCTATCACACTGGTGCCACCAGGGATCTGTGGATATTGGGAATGCAAAGGTAGATGGGGGAAAAAAAGCCCATATATCCCTGCTTCCTTGCTCCCCTCCACCCCGCAAAAAGCACACACACACTGGTACTTGCCCTGCCTCGCTGCACATTTTCTTGGCTAAGACTGCATTTAAATGCTCGCTAATGGATGTGATTTTAGCACAAAGAAGCTATAAATCAGAGCCTGGGAAGGTTCATAAGCAAAATGAAAAGAAATAAAATAAACATTAAAAAAGCGCCATCCCAGCCAGAGGAAACTTTTCCTTTTGCATGGTGGAATCTAATGAGTGGCTTTTGATGAATAATTCAGGCCATGTGGCTGGAACGGGAGACAGAGGTAGGCAGACCCTCACACTGCCCACATGCAATTGCACAACACTCACCTGAGTGAGGCTTTTCTACTTGACCTCACACAACAGTCTATCCCGGGGTCAGCAAACTTACCGCACCTTGGGCTGGTGTCTCCAGCACCGATTGCACGGCGGGCCAGAGGGTGGGGGAGCGCGTGCCTATACGCGTGCACACACACTATTTCCGGCGCACTTCCGGGTGCACATGCGCACAGGCCTCCTCTGACCCAGATGTGCACCGGAAATAATGCTTGCACATGCGGAAATAACGCTTGAGCATGTGCACAAGCTATTTCCAGTGCTCCTCCGACCCGGAAGTGGGCAGCCACACAGCGCAGCGCCGGTAAGAGTGGGCGGTGGCAGCGGGCTGCGGGGGTCGCCACAGGCTGGATAAACAAGTCCCTCGGGCCTTATCCGGCCCACGGGCCCTAGTTTGGGGACCCCTGGTCTATCCCAATGAAGGAGATCCAGAGGTACTGTGTGCTTCAGGCAAAGCCAAAATCCGCTCGGAAGGTGAAGAGGTCTTGGATTCCTGGGGAAAAAGAGGTCTGGGCAAAACAATCCCTCAAGGCTGAAACCTGATCCCTGTAGTGTGCAGCCTAGCCCACGCTCCAGGAAGTTCCCCAGCCAAATATCTTGGGGCTCTTGATACACTATGTGAGTCCCCACCTGAGTGATGCCAGAAGATGCTACTCTCTAAGTGCAACTCTCCCAGGCAGAATATCCTCCAGGCTATTTCCACTCTGCCGCTCTTCTTCTCAAAGTTGTCTCAAATGCTGCCCAAGGTTGTAAAGACTGCGGAGAGAATAATTGGGTGCAGTCTTCCCACCTTGGATCAAATCTATGCTTCCAGGTGCCATAAGAAAGCTGCAGAGATAGTGCAGGATAGTGCGCACCCTGGAAATGATCTCTTTCAGCTTCTGCGTTCTGGAAGAAGGTACAGGGTTATAAAGACTAGGACTAGCCACCTGAGAATAAAGATTATTGTATCATAAATTGTTAATTTTTGCAACTCCTGCTCATATTCAGTAGGTTGCAGAGCACATACCCTCCAAAGCCCTGCTGATCAAAATTGGGATACTCTTTTTTTTGGAGGGGGGGCCTCCAAGCTCTTGAGGGAGCCAGCTGATTTTCGCCACAGTGCGAGGCCAGAAAACGAGCATCTTTTGGTCCAGCGCTCTGGACCAGAGCCTTGGATTACGTATTTTTTGCCCCCTGAAAAGTGGCTCTTGAGACCCTGCATTGTGTCCATCTGAAAGTGGATGTAGGTGGTCCCAGCAATGGGGAGGGGGTCTAGCCACCCCTGCCCAATAATGTCCTCGGTGGGTGTATACTAAGATTGTTAACCACCTCTTCCTTCTTCACTCACCTGGGGCACATGCAAGGAAAAAAACGCATGGATAATTGAATCAAGGGGAGGGTTTTCAAAAGTACAGTGGTACCTCTGGTTGTGAACAGGATCCGTTCCGGAGCCCCGTTTGCAACCTGAAAGGAATGCAACCTGCGTCTGCACATGCGCGGGTCACGATTTGCCGCTTTTGCGCATGCGTGTGACATCATTTTGCGTGTCTGCACATAGCGTGAGTGGCGAAACCCGGAAGTAATCCTTTCCAGTACTTCCGGGTTGCCACGGGATGCAACCTTAAAAGACATAACCTGAGGTATGTCTGTATATCAAGCAACCACACCCATCTTTGTAGATGCCAGGATATAGAATCTATCTACACTGGAAGCAATTTGCTGGGGAAAAGCACGAACAATTCCAGATTTAGAAAAACTACGTTTTTGCTATGGGTTAGTGTGTACTTAGCCTAAATGGTTCAAATTTAGATACAGTGCAATCTCATTTACAATGTGGGGGAACATCCAAGCAGATATGGCTAATACAGATTTTGTTGATGATGATGTTGAAATTCAGCTTCTTCTGTTTTGTAGTTATTTCTCTTTTCATAGATGGATCACGCATGTATTAAAAAGGCAAAGACTTGTCGACAAGTTCCAGGGACGTGTTTTTTGTAATATAGAGGAGCTAGCTAGTTGCAGAAAGAACACACCCTTGCCTCATGGCCTGCAGTCTTCCACACATGCGGACACTCTTAATGCTTCGATGGGGCTGCTGCCTTGTCAGAAGATCACAACCCATCCTTGATGGTGATAGCCAATGTGTTTCTGAGCACAACTCAAAGTGTTGGTGTTGACCTTTAAAGCCCTAAATGGCCTCGGCCCAGTATACCTGAAGGAGCGTCTCCAACCCCATCGTTCAACCTGGACATTGAGGTCCAGCTCTGAGGGCCTTCTGGTGGTTCCCTCACTGCAAGAAGAGAGGTTACAGGGAACCAGACAGAGGGCCTTCTTGGTAGTGGCACCCACCCTGTGGAACGCCCTCCCATCAGATGTCAAGGAAATACACAACTATCTGACTTTTAGAAGGCATCTGAAGGCATGATGTTTTATTGTGTTTTTAATATTATGTTGGGAGCCTCCCAGAGTGGCTGGGGAAACTCAGCCAGATGGACTGGGTATAAATAATAAATTATTATTATTATTATTCCACATATTGCAGATTAAAACTCCCATCAGCCCCCAATGGCATTGCCAGTGGTCAGGGATGATGGCATCTGTAGTCTGGAGAGCATTATGCTGGCTATCCCTATCCTAAAGGGTTAATCGTACACAAGGTGGGGAATAACTCTTTTTAATGTTACTTTTGGGATGACAGATGATTAGTCATAGGATTGCAGAGTTGGAAGGGACCACAAAGTTCATCTTCTCCAATTCCCTGCAGTGCAGGAATAGTCATGCTATTGTACTTCAGTTTTCCTTCAGATACAGTGGCCTCCAGTTTGTAAGTGGAAATCTCATGTTTGTGTGTGCACAGCTTTAGAATGACTCCTCTGTAGAACGTTGTTTTCTGCCAGAGGCCTGCTGGTCCTAGAGACTGTGATTGGCACCGGCATTGTCTAAGCTTCTTACTTTAATCAAAGAGGCTGGATGCCAGTGGGCTAGCAGGTTTGCTGTCCTTGTTTTGTTTTTTAAGAAAGAGGGTCGGAAAAGTTTTAAGAGGATCAAGGATGAATTGGGATGTTGCACCACATCCCAAAATTCAGGTGAGCTACAGTGGATGGCAATAGGCTGATGAGCCTCCATGTGGCCGCTAGGTGGCAGTGTGTATTAATGGATGGGGAAAGAAACCAAATTAGGCTCCTCAGGACAAGCCTGTGTGAGCACGTCAATAATGTCTCAGGATATTAATGTACCCTGGAGAACTGGGGTCCATTTGTGCGCTCTGGCTGTGAAAACAGATAAAAGACGCCCGCCCCCTTTGTGAGTGAAAAGATCCAACATTGCCCTTCCAATGTCGGGCGACCCAAGCAGAGGAAAAACGTAGACCAAAAGAAAACGTAGCCAAAACAGTGGGGGCAGCTTGGATCAGTGGCTTGAGCGCTGGGCTTGGGGCGTGTGAAATGCTCAAAGCAGTCTCTGCTCTGGGCCACTTTGCAGATACCAAAGGTGGAATCAATGCACATCTCAATTTGGCACACACTGAGATGGCAGACCCTCCTCTTTTCCTGGAACAGTCCCAGACTTACAGAAGCCGTCCCGGTTTCTGATTGGATCCCAGAATGCCCTGCTTTTCCTTTAGGCATTCCTATTTTCATCTGAGAAATGTTGGAGCGTATGTTATGTGACCGCCGAGCTAAGGCGATAAGGAACTATGCAACCTTTAGAAGACATCTGAAGGCAGCCCTATACAGTTGTACCTCAGCTCCTGAATGCCTTGGGAGTCAAACGTTCTGGCTCCCAAACGATTGAAAACCAGAAGTGAGTGTTCTGGTTTTCTAACATGTTTTTTTTTGGAAGCCAAATGTCCTGTGCAGCTTCTGCTATTGTTTCCGGCGAGCCTGTGCAATTGGAAATCAATCAGAAGCTGTGCTTTGGTTTCCGAACGTTTTGGAAGTCGAATGGACTTCTGGAATGGTTGCTGTTTGACTTCTGAGGTACGACTGCATAGGGAAGTTTTTCAATGTTTTGTTATGTTTTTATATATGTTGGAAGCCAACCCAGTCAGATGGGTGAGGTATAAATATAATACAGTGGTACCTCGGGTTACAGATGCTTCAGGTTACAGATGCTTCAGGTTACAGACTCTGCTAACCCAGAAATAGTACCTCGGGTTAAGAACTTTGCTTCAGGATGAGAACAGAAATCGCGCAGCAGCGGCGCAGTGGCAGCAGGAGGCCCCATTAGCTAAAGTGGTGCTTCAGGTTAAGAACAGTTTCAGGTTAAGAACGGACCTCCGGAATGAATTAAGTTCTTAATTGTATATTAACTCTCATGACCGACAGTTGGAACTGATGGGCATTCTAGTCAAACAGCCCCTGTTGCGGACTGCAGGTCACTATTTTACAGGCTGCCTTCCTGCATCACATAACGTCTAGACATGAGAGTGCAGTTCATCCTGAGACCATGAGTCAGGGCTCATCTACACTCGTTCGTTAGAACATTAGAAATGCATTATAAAAATGTGACACTAGAGGGAGCTGCAGAGCAGTGAGACTTCGACGATGGAAAAACCGCACTGAGAGTTATATAACATTATAGTTAATAACGTTTTTACATATCAGTGTAGATCCAGCCAAGGAGCAATGAAAAGAGTGCCTCTGAACTTAGATGGGGTCACCTCCTTGCATCGCTAAAGTCCTAGCTGAGCTCCTGCAAATCCTTGTTTGGGGAAGGAGTTTTGGGGTCAGAAGGCATTTTCCCTTTGCAAAACAAATGCAGAATGAAACAAACAGTAATTCTATATTGGGGATAATTAAATCAGGGAGGATAAAGTGGCTGATGTGGGGAAGAGCTGTGGCGTACGATGGACGGATCTGGGCGGATAAAACATGCCCAGCACCAAGTGACTTTCAGTCTCGCCTGATAATCATTTTTATTGGGTTTGGGTTTTGTCACCCTGTTGGCTTTCATTTGCTGCAAGAGATCCAGAGGCTTTTCCTAAAGGTATCTATTCTGAGAAAGAGGCATCACATTACACACATCCAGCCCTAGGAGCCTTTCCCAGACCAAGACTTTGAGAACAGCAGAGGCAGCTGGGAAGAGAGAAGAGGAGTTCAGGGGTGCATTATTATTTTTTAAAATTATAAGTTATGCGCCCTTGTTTCTCCATTTGATCCTTTTACATGGCTTTGCGGTATTTTATGCACTGCGACTTGCCATTACTTTTATTGATTATACCTTAGCAATTCTTTATTGTAACTGATAAGTGTAAACCATTTAATGATTATTTGCTGATATTTAATTTTACTGTTTTATATTCTAATGGATTGTTGAATATTGTTTTATTTGATATAAGTTGTTTATTTTAAAGTTATTGAGACTTTTTTTGCATTGGATCAGATTGTTATTATCTTTGCTGCCTAGTTTGTGGTTTCTTCAGCTTGTAAACTGCCTTATACAGTGGTACCTCAGGTTACATACACTTCAGGTTACATACACTTCAGGTTACAGACTCCACTAACCCAGAAATAGTGCTTCAGGTTAAGAACTTTGCTTCAGGATGAGAACAGAAATTGGGCTCCGGCGGCAAGGTAGCAGGAGGAGGCCCCATTAGCTAAAGTGGTCTTCAGTTTCAGGTTAAGTACGGACCTCCGGAACGAATTAAGTACTTAACCCGAGGTACCACTGTATATAGTAATATAGAATGGCAGTATACAAATTAAATGTGAAATGAAAAGAAAATTCCCCCTCACCTGCCCCACTTAGGGAACATTATATTGCATGGTGAAGTGTGATGCTCACATCCTGAGAAAACCACAACAATAATGAGTGGATATGCTATATGGAATGTGGTTTCACTATGGCTCCAGGAGGACAAAGGCCACAGAATACTCTTAATTTCTTGATTCAGGAGTTAGGCGCCCCTGCATGTTTTGAGCAGAGCTCTTAGTCAAGGGGCAAAAGCTAATTTGCATCATTACTTATCACTTAGGGTGATTTAACGAGGGCTTTTAAGAGCAAACACAGCAGGTTCTTTGCAAGTGGTTTAAGCCCAGATTTGCAAATTGCATTAGAAACCTACACTCCAACGATTTGTAGGGAGTTTCAGCTGTCATGTCATCCCTTTCCCTTCATGCATTGGACAAAATGTCTGCCTTTTTACAATTTTAAAAAAATAAAAACAGCACTAGTATGTTTATTTGTTTACAGGTCTGTTATTCATCTTGTAAAAACCTAAATAGATAAGCATCAACAGACATAAAAGAGGCAGAACCTCTCTGATGATTGGCTGGGGCGGCTGGGTGAAGGAGATGTGTTTGTGATGTCACAGGTACTAGCCAATTCAGCTGTTCCTTTCCACCCAGCCCAGAATGCCCACACTGCTAACTTGTAGAAGTGTGTTGCAAGAGCAATTGGGGTGAAAAGGCTACATTCATACTGAACACAGGAAAGGCACTTTCAAACCCGTAGCTCGAAACATATTGCTGCATGCCACCCCAATCTCCGAGAGCTGCAAGATTCCAGGGCTCAGTCTCCTTGGAATGAGGGACAGCGGAGACAGTGGTGTCTTTATGATATAGTGGTACCTCTGGTTATGAACTTAATTCGTTCCGGAGGTCCGTTCTTAACCTGAAACTGTTCTTAACCTGAGGTACCACTTTAACTAATGGGGCCTTCTGTGCCCCAGTTTCTGTTCTCATCCTGAGGTAAAGTTCTTAATCCAAGGTACTACTTCCGGGTTAGCGAAGTCTGTAACCCAAAGTGTTTGTAACCCGAGGTGTTTGTAACCCGAGGTACCACTTTATATGGTTCCTTTCAACACTCCCTTCCCTCTTGTGTCTTTTCCTTAGTGTCTTTTCCTTAGCTGGAGCGTTTTTTTGCTCCTCCTTTTCTTCTAATTTCTCTCCTCATTGCTTTAGTCTTCCTGTCTCCTCTCCTTGCAAGTTCACTATCTTTACCTCCCCCTTCCCAGGCAGCCTCCTTTATTGCTAGCGTCCCTTATCTCGCTCCCGATCACTTGCCGATCAGCGGCTTTGTTTCAACACCCACTTTCCTCTCCCCCCCCCAAAAAAAGCATGATTTGCTTTTAGCCCCTGGGCAATTTGGCTCCAGCAACCACGCATTCGCTCCATACGATGCACAGACATTTCCCCTTACTTTTTAGGAAGAAAAAAGTATGTCTCATGGAGCAAAAAATATGGTATATACAATCTGAGCCTATGATGGAGGGGCTCACAGCATTAAAGTCTTTCTCCTCCCATAGCCACAGCCTTGGATTCAAGCAGAAACCAAACATGTCTCTCCCTCTCAGGCTTCTGTCGGCAGCCTGATTCTAGCCCAGCTCTCTCTCACACCTTTGGCCCTTGTCCTTCTCACCGACAGTCAGGTGAGGGAGAAGAGCCCACCCATTTGCTCTCTGGCACAAAGCCACTTCCTTTGTTACCCTAATGACCCATATTAGGGAGCCATTAATTCACCATACAGGACGCGGGTGGCGCTGTGGGTTAAACCACACAGCCTAGGACTTGCCGATCAGAAGGTCAGCGGTTCGAATCCCCGCGATGGGGTAAGCTCCCGTCGCTCGGTCCCTGCTCCTGCCCACCTAGTAGGCCGAAAGCACGCCAAAGTGCAAGTAGATAAATAGGTACCGCTCCGGCGGGAAGGTAAACGGTGTTTCCGTGCACTGCTCTGGTTCGCCAGAAGCGGCTTAGTCATGCTGGCCACATGACCCGGAAGCTGTATGCCGGCTCCCTCGGCCAATAAAGCGAGATGAGCGCCGCAACCCCAGAGTTGGCCACGACTGGACCTAATGGTCAGGGGTCCCTTTAATTCACCAAGGAATTAATGCTGGATCCAAGAATTAGAAGGGGCTCAGGCATACAGCCTACCCCCCCTGCCCAAACTCACAACACTCTCATATTTACAGTTATCTTAATTGTCCATATTCTAGCAACATTCCTGCTTATATTCCTTCATACAAAGCATGAAGGTACAGATATCTGGGTTGTGTGGTTCCTTTTTATTTTTATACTTTTGTGATTTTAGATGGTGTATATACACACATACAAGTGTGCCAATAATTACTTAATTTGTATGCAGGATTATAACAAGCAACGTTAGTATTATGTTGTGCGCTGATGACATGCAAACACTTCTATTTCTCCTTTGCCCCTGGATCTGCACCAGGCGACAACCTCGCGTTCCAAAGAAGGCCTTTGCGAATGAATCTCAGAAGGATTCAAGTGAGAGAAGTGGTGTAAAAGAACAGGAGCTGACGCTGGCTGAGCAATCACTCATCACCAGCTCTATTGAGAAGCCCGTCTTCCCTTCTGAGCAACCCTTCTGTATCCTGACGCTCAGGCTGCTACTGGTGCAAGGAGAGATGAAGAAAGCTACAATGAGCTTCCCCACGGAGTCCATCTTTGCCTTCAAAGCTGCCTGCTATTCTCTCTCTACCTTGTTAGAGAGGAAGAGAATTGGCGAAAGAGAAAGAGAGCAGATTCATCAACAAGCCCAGGCAATTCTGAAGCCCAGCAGCGATGATGCCAGGCATTCACCATCCTTCGCCTGCTCTTTGTGAAGCGTTTCAAGGCAGAGGCGCCAATAAATCCTTGGCTCGTTTTTCAGTTGCACAACAACGCTGCAAAAGCTGTGAGGCTCTGTTTGCATGTTCCGCTTTGACCACGGCAATGCCATTGCCAAGTGTGTTCCCTCCCCTCCCAGCCAGGTTTATTTTAGAGAAAGAAATCCCCTTGCATGTGCCCTTGTAAGAGATTTCTCACGTGGTTTACGTCGCATCAGAACAGCCTTTCCCAATCCAGCTCCCTCTAGATGTCGTTGAACAACAAATCCTGTCACCCTGACCACTGGGAATGATGCGAATTGGGAGTCCAACAACATTGCGTGGACAGGCGGAGTCCCCCAAACCCTGGGAGGCCCCCATGTGGAATAACGACTCAAAACAACGTGCTATGGGATTAAAATTGGCCACAACTTTATTATGTTTCATATGTGGGTAGACCTTGGCTCAGGCATTGGGCGTTTATCCCTCCCAGTCCCCTGCCGGGGATCTGGGGAACATCAGGGTTATCCAGTGTGTGTTGTGGATGGTCTGGCTGGCTCTGGAGAACATATGTTCAAGCAGAGAGAGCCTGCCCTTGTTACACCGGGAGAGCAATGACGACCTCAACGGCCAAAGCCTCCTCTCAAAACAACACCTTTAAAGGGGAACCCTGGTATCGCCACCGCAAAGGGGAGGGGGCGTGGGTCACCGCTACACACCCTCCCCCATTTAGGGAAGATAGACTAAAGGATTCCACCCAAGGCCTGATACAGTGGTGCCTCGCAAGACGAAATTAATTCGTTCCGCGAGTTTTTTCGTCTTGCGGTTTTTTTCGTCTTGCGAAGCACAGTGTCGGAAAAGTTTTGGAAAAGCTTCAAAAATCACCAAAGTCTTCAAAAACCTCAAAAAAGGCTACCACACCGCGTGCTATGAGTTGCTCCTCGAAGTCAAGTCGCAACTGTATTAACGGTATTAAGAAAAAGGAAACAAACTTGCAAGACGTTTCCGTCTTGCGAAGCAAGCCCATAGGGAAAATCGTCTTGTGAAGCAACTCAAAAAACCAAAAACCCTTTCGTTTTGCGAGTTTTCCGTCTTGCGAGGCATTCGTCTTGCGAGGTACCACTGTACCGCCAAAGTTGTGATGTTTTGCTACGGGAAAGGCAAACCTGCCAATGCAGGAGAATTCCTTCAACATCGACCTTGACGTAGCAGCGCCCGCGTACCAGTGGAGAAAAGGCTAACCTGCAAAAGAAGTCTCAACTGAGTGTGGGTAGAGTGGGAGAAGCTCTGGAGCCAACTGACGATTCCCAGGTAAGATCCTCCCCCTATTGTGTGGTCAAGTGGTCCCTCCCCCTACCTGGCCTGTTCACCTTGGCAACGCCTCCCCAGGCGGGATTGGGCAACTGGCTGAGGTAGGCGGAGACCTCCAGGTATCCCACCTGGGGAAGGTGAAGCCAAGCCTGTGCTAATGGTGCCACATAGGGTCCAGGGGGCTGCGTGTGACCACGCAAAGGGTGCCCCCATTTAATGTGGGGAGCAGTCATTCTGGAAGCTTTCAGGTAGGGGAAGGCTGCAGCCGAGCAAAACCCAGGCTGAAGCACATGAGAACATCAATCAATCATTTTATGTGTATGCTGCCTTTCTAAAGTTAAAGCCATGCTCAAGGCAGCTTGCAACAGGCAGAAAATTATGTAACTACAGACACAGGAAAAACAGTTATAAACAATAAACAACAGATTACTGCAATGCATTATACGTAGGGCTACCTGTGAAGATGGTTCAGAAACTTGAGCTAGTGCAGAATTCAGCGGCCAGGTTGCTCACCGGAGCAAGGCAGTTTGAGCATATTACACTGATCCTGGTCTGACTGCACTGGCTACCAATTAGTTTCTGAGCCCAATTCAAAGTGCTGGTTTTGACCTATAAAGCCTTAAATGGCTCAGACCCCAATACCTCAAGGACCACCTCTTTCCATATGAACCTACCCGGACCCTGAGATCACCTTCTGAGGCCCTCCTTCGTGTGCTGCCTCCTCGAGAGGTCTAGACGGTGGCAACACGAGAAAGGGCCTTCTCTGCAGTGGCTCCCTGTCTGTGGATTGCTCTCTGCAGGGAAGTTTGCATGGCACCTTCATTACGCACCTTTAGGCGCCAGGCAAAAACGTCCCTTTTTAACCAGGCCTTTGGTTGACCTGATCAACATCCTATCCCCTTTAAAAATGCAGCTCTTTTTTATGGGGGTGGGGGAGGGGTGTCATTGGGTTATTGTTTTTATTTTTAGTTTATATATTGTGATCTTTTCTGTGAACCGCCCTGAGACCTCCGGGTATAGGGCAGTATATAAATTCAACAAACAAACAGAACTTCAAAAGGCACATGACCAAATTAAACAACTTCCACATAAATCACAAGACCCAAAATAAATTACAAAAAAATGCATCAACAACAGAAACAATCCCACCCCAACGAACAATACCCCAGCCCCAGAGCATAAGAAGACCCCCCTCTGGATCAATTCAATGGCCCACGCAGTCCAGAATCCTTTCCCCACAGTAGCTATGCCTATGAGAAGCCTGAATAAACACACAAGACGTAACTGGCTGTACTTTTGAATAAATAAGGTATACTATTCATTGTATCAAATTGTAGATTTCAACAAAAGTCTCATAAAGGTCAATGAAAAAAGCAACCACTACTATGCTATAAGAGCCACTATCCTGTAATATTACATATGAGCCTGTTCTACTGATGAAGCCTAGGATGGCGAAACAAGGCTAATATTCTGGAAATCCTTGTCTCTGAAAGGATTCTGTGGAAGTGTAACAACCCTTCATGTGGATTATTGGACTCTATGAACAGACAGGTGGAATAGACACTTATACATGTATGGACCTTATGCATGAACTGACTAGAGAATGAACTGCTCCACTGGGTCTTCCGCTTTTTTCGTTGAACTTTATGAGACTTCTGCTGAAATCTACAATTTGATACAATGAATAATATACCTTATTTATTCAAAAGTACAGCCAGTTACGTCTTGTGTGTTCATTGAGTATGTTTCACGTAACCAGAGGTTTGGTGTTGTTGTTTTGCTTATGAGAAGCCTGAAAGCAGGACGTGAGTGCAAGAGCATTATGAACTGTGGAAGAGCACACTGACTCCCACCGTGGAGGCAGAAGTACAGCCACCGTGGCTAGTGGTGCACCCTGAGTCCCAAAACTGGGACACGTATCTTCCCGTCCGTGCTCCCATTCAAGCTCATGGAGCCCCAAAGACATGCTTTTTTGGGGTGAGATATTGGCGTGAAATCTCACTAGAGTATGGCAGCCAAAATGGCCACTGTGCTCTTGCGGGGGGAATGGGATGTCCTGTTTTCCCCCGGGACATTTGCAAGGTATCATAGTGTGTCCTTTCCTCGGCTGCCCACCCATCAACCCCATGCTGGGAAGAAATATTGATTGAATTTCATGATCTAATAATAATCTAATAATTTATTATTTATACCCTGCCCATCCGGCTGGGTTTCCCCAGCCACTCCGGGTGGCTCCCAACAGAATATTAAAAACACGATAAAACATCTGCTTAATTGTAAACACACACACACACACAAACCAACAAAAAACCAACTTCAAAGCTGCAGTTTACATAAAGCAACGTTTGGGTTAGGGATTTTCAAAATATTGAAGACAATACTGACACTTGTAGCTCTTATTCAAATCAATGCAGCTGCAATTTTCCAGAATGCCAGATACTTGAGACATTGAGCTTAAGGGATATTCCTGAAAGTATGGGGAGAGTATCAAGCTGAACAGACACACAACAAATTTGCCTATTCCTGCCTTGCTTACTTAGTAGCTCCACAGTTCTGTCACCAGGCCTGGCCTTCAGCCTGTCTCTCAGGCTTTGCTTGCCACCTGTCAGCAGAGTAATTGAGCTGCTTCTTCCGTGTGAGCAGGCTGACAATAGCCAAGTCCTTCAGGAATGGACTCTCTCTTTAGTTTGTGCAGAGCTCTGCCTTTGACATCAGGCCTTATAGGAATAAGTTAATGAAAGCCTTGTTAGAAGTGACTCAAAGGGGGGGGGGGGGACAGAGAGGGTTGAGCAGTCATTCCCCAGACCTCAGTGCCTCTCAGAAGCTTCACTCTTCATCCATCCTGAAGCACAATTTCTCTTTCGGGTTTCATCTGGGGGCAAGAAAGGCATCTGCAGGCAGCCTCTGGTGCTGCCTTCCAGTCTCCCAAATCTCTCTTGAGTCCTTGCCCTCTCTTGCTTACGAAATAGTACACATGGGCTGATTTGAAACACATCTAGGCTGGCATATTTCAGGTCTCCTATACAGTACTTGCCTGTAATCACTGGGCAGAAGAGGGAATTTCCACAGGGGCGACGTTCCCAACAACACGATTCACGGCCAACAAGGAGAAGCAGCTCAAAGCCAGGGGAACATAAGTTGACCTCTAGCAGAGATACGACACAATTTCACAGGAACTTGAAAGTGGCTGAAAGCATATTGTGACATGTTTATTATTTCTTTAGACCAGTGCTTCTTCTTTTTTTTCTAGAAAAAAAAGATGCCGGTACTCACCATGCAAGGAAGGACTCTCAGATTCTGACAGAGCATTGTGCTTTGTTCCCTCTCTAAGCTGGGAAGTGTCAGGAGTTCAGCCTACACTCGAGTAGGACCCTGGCAGAGACACATGCCCGACTGGCATGTTCCCTCTCCCTGGGTCAATCGTTCCTGGTCGCTTCATGAGCTTTCTTCAGCCTGAACATCACAGCGACCGATGCCAACCAACACTGGCACACTTAAGGATCCACAGAGTTTGCGCAGTTTGCGTAACAGACCTCAGCAACTCAGCATTTTGGCTAATCTACTTCATTTACATATAAACACACATGGAGCACTGCAACATGGCTCCCTCTCTCTGTAGCATCAGACAGCAAAGAGAAAGAACAAAGGACAATAGTCCCACTTCACGGAACACAGTAACACAAACATCCTGTCTCCCTCACTTCCCACTCTGTGGAGTCAAAACATACACCGTCATGTGATGGACAACAATCCCATGACT